AGCCTGGGTAACTTGGGTTTCTAGTCAGAGCACTATGGTCAACGTGTAAGTACTGTGATGCTGGACAGGTGATTTAAGCTCTGTGGGCTATAGTTACTGCACCTGCCAGATGAGCAGGCCAGCCTAAATAATCTCTAGAGGCCCATCCTGTTCTTTGAGCAAGAACTATTTATTGAAAATGCCTGAAAATATAGGTCCACCTATGTTAGGTTGAACCATATGAAATTGCCATTACTGGCCATATTTAACAGATAGAAGTGGCAATTTCATATGGTTCAACAGAACATAAATAACAGTCTTCACATTACTAAACACTTATTATGGTGTTCTACTTAGAGAGGGATAATATCTATGCCAAATGTGATCAAGATCTATCAGTTAAGTAGTTATTCTGAGTATCATAAATTTAAACCTATTAGAATGTTCTAGCATAATGTCCATCAGTAAAATTGCTTTCACACACTGATTCACTTTTCCCTTGGTTATGGAACAGACAACAGACTACTTAGCCATGTCTCATGCAACAGTGTTCAAAATATGAATCCCCCTTGGACTTAATTTTTTCAGCCTGGCCAGGGGCCAGGTACTTCATCTACCTGAGCCCTTTTCACTCTATGATTAAGTCTTATCAAGAAGCACCTCCTGATCTGCTTTTTTTTCTTAAAGATTTATTTATTATTTTAGGGGGGGGGAGTGGGGAGGGGCAGAGGGATAGAGAGAACCTCCAGCCGACTCCCCACTGAGCACAGAGCCCGATCTCACGATCCTGAGATCATGACCTGGGCTGAAATCAAGAGTCAGACGCTCAACCGACTGAGCCATCCAGGTGCCCCAAGAAGCTTTGCCATGAGCCTTTGTCCATGTTAGAAGAGTTGACCAAATATCAGTATTAGCTCCAGCAGCAGGTTGGTGAATGTTGCCATGCTCGTACCTTGAAACAAACCCAAATAAGTCCAGTGGAATCTAGCACTGAAGTCCCTCAACTCAAAGACATTTTGTCACAGGGATACTTGGTTGGGCTTTAGGGGGCCCGGGAGTCCCCTGAAATTGATTGTAGAGCTTTGTATGTGCATACATATACTTTTGGGGGGGGAAGAATAAAATCAGATTGCTTAATTTCATTTTTCACGGAGTTTGTGAATCCCTTCCTCTCCTGCAAGTAGGTTGAGAATCACCGTTCTAGTCGTTTCCAACTGAAATCCATAGTACGTGAGAGAGGAACATTCACTGATTCACCAAACATTTAGTAAAAGATCTTCAATGTATCAACCATGATGTAAGGTCCTGGGATTCAAAGATGAGTAAAACAGTAGATCCCTGCCCCCCAGCAGCTCAAACTCCCATGTAATTATGATCTAAATGACTTCAGCTCTCTGAACATGTTTCCTTATCTGTAAATTGGAGCTAATAATCCAATCCCAATGTCAGAGAGTGGTTTTGAGTATCACATGAATGAGCTCACAATACCTGGGTAATTGAAAATGAGCAAACAGACAAACATGGCAGTTTGCAGAAGCACAGAAAAGGATCTCCAATTCAGACAGAGGTCTGGGGGAAAACTTGTGGATGAGGTGACCCCGGACGGGGCGGGGGGGGGGGTTGGTTTCTAAACTACAAGAACATACCGCTATTTTTATGTGTGAGTCTGGAGAGACTCAGCTCCTTTGTCCTATAGAAATTGTATTTCTTTCTTCCTCTGCAGGGTGACTGGGGACATCAGAAGACCAAGGTTACTCCAATGCCCTCTCCTCTCTCTTTTGTGTTCCGTCTCCCCTCCCCCTCAATACTTACTTAAAGAGCCCCATTCCCATTTTAGCTGTGGAATCTCGAGGCTTCCCTTGAAGCACCCTGTCCTGGATGGCCTTGCCGAGCATCGAAACATAGCTCTCCTATGTCCCCATTCTCTCAGAGCTCTGAAAAGACAGGGACTCACAATTGAGCGCTCTTACAAGTGAGGCGCTGGCCTAGATTTTTCATAGGTGGTGTCATTGCTTTGATGAAAACATTCGCACAACGGTGTTGGCAGTGAGCGCGCCCTATCCTCCTGCGCATCCTCTGCTCAGAGGAGTCACTGGTGGAATTCCAAGCACAGTGGCACAGCTCACAAAGGAGATACGTGGGAGGCAGGGTGGGCAGAGGAGCTCAGAGCACTTAGGAGCTTGCAACGCTATCACCTCTGTGGGGGGCGGCGGGGGGAGAGTCAGATCCAAGGCAGGGCCTCATGTGGCCCAGTGCATACTGGAGTAGTATCCAAAAGTGCTGTCCAATAAGCAAAAATAACTAGCATAATTCCAATCTTGAGAGCACCTTAGAAAAAAACACTGCAGGGGAGCTGATTCTCTGCCCAGAAGGGGATCCCCCTTCCCCCTGCTAGTTTTCTGCTGCCCTGCATTGGCTCAGCACCCTCCCCCAGACCGAATTTCTCCCATCACTCACTCCTGGGACTTCTCTACCCCTCCACCAGCCCTTCGTCCTGTACACTTAGCTCTCCTGGTTCTTTTTTTTACTTGTGTCTATGTTCTATCCAGTTTTCCATCTGGCTTCACAAAAAGAAACTGAAGTCTCTCTAGAGGGTGCAGAAGGTAGAGGGGTATACAAGCTGGCCAAATCACAAGTTTCTTTACTGGATGAAGATGTGGAGAAGGGTTGGCAGAAAGAGAGGGTGAGAACACTCACAGGTGAAGGAATCATACCTGTAAAACCAGCCCTGACGTAGCACACAGGGGTGGGTTGTCTTTTGATTGATGAAACAAGCATGAACTCCCCCTAATTGAGCAGATCTCATCTCCGGGAGGGTTAAGGAGCCAGTGGTGATGTCTTGCATAGGATTAAAGCCAGGTTAGCTATACTCTTCACAGTGAACTGTATTATTTTAAGGGGGAGAAAGCCTGTCTCTGTTGCATTGCTTGGCATGTACTTTGGGGGCAATCTTATCTCTTTGTCAAGTTTCTTTTCAATTCTCTAGGCTTTGTGTGGAGGGGAGAGCAAGAGGAAGATCCAAGAGCCCTTTGAATAATAGGACTTAAAACATCAGATTGAAAAAAATCTATTAACTTAGTTACCGTAATTCTCAATGAATGAAATGTTGGGAAGGCGTCAGAGAAAGACCTGGACGTGTACTTGTGCCCTTTCTGCAGGTGGGGAGATCAGAAACCTCTCTCCTCATAAGAGGAAATGAAAGACATGTTAAAGAGAAGAGGCATTGTTTTCAGAAGGGCATTAGGCAAATTAGGTTTGTTCAGGGCTTTTATTGACTGGGCAAACCTGTAGGTCCTGGCTAATCCCAGGTTCACTTCCTGTCTACATTCCTTCCAGTTCTATTCACACCTGTTTGCTCCATCTATGTACCATGTTCAGCTCCATTCTCTGAGCTCCCTTATCGCTTTGTTCAGACCTCTTATGACTCTTTGTTACTTCTCATTGCCATTTGTTTGCAGTTCTCCTGTGACACTGAGCTTCCACAGACAGACATCTCATATTCATCATCTCTGCATTTCCAATGCCCCTCATGTGCCTGGCACATCCATTTATTCATTCAACATCCATTGTGTGCCTTTGATGTGTCGGGCTCTGTGCCCACATTCACCGTCTCGAGGTAGGGAAAGGCGATATGAGTCCTGTCCTCATGGAAATGACAGATGAGTAGGAAAGATGACACCGTAAGCCAATAATCATACACACACACACCAGCAATATACACACATAATTAGCACATATTGTGAAGAGGGCTTTGAAGAAAAAAAATAAGATGCTATTGGAGTAAAGGGGCGGGGGCAGAACTGATTAGAACAGAGCCAGGGAGTTTTTTCAGAAGTGACAGTTAAGCGGGGACCAAGAGAGTAAAGAAGGTAGCAGAGGGAAGAGAAAGGAAAAATTATTCCAGGTTGAGGAAAGAGAATGTGCAAATGTCCTGAAGCAGGAGAACGTTTATTGACTTGGAGCAAGGAAGGCCAGTATGACCAGTTGTCATGAGGATAGAGTTGTTGGGGAGGTGGTCAGGGACCAGCTCAGGCCAAGCCAGGTGAACCCCACGAAGTAAGTAGGATTTTATTTTAAGCACTACAGGAAGGGACTGAATCATTTTAGAAGCAAGGGGATATGATCCCATTTCCTTCTTTAAAAGAGCACAACGACTGCTGTGGAGGGCAGAGAGGGACAGATATGTCCCCAGGAGACAGTTTGGGGGAGGGTCGCATTGCACTGCATTGTGTCTTCAAGGTGAGGGATGTTGGTGGCTGGGCAGTGCCAGTGAGGAGGGAGAGGAGAGGTGGGTTTGAGGAATATGAACCATCTCTCAGGTTATCTCATTGTGCCACTTGCCTAAGATGCTTCTTCAAATGTGGATGTACACATTCCCCTCTGGAATCCTTGGGGAAAGCACTGTGTAGACAAAGGAGATGGAGCAGACTGCAAAGACTGTCAATGCCCCTTGCAATCTTCTGCCCCATAATTCTCTGAAAACACAAGTCAAACATGAGTCGCCCCTTCATTCCGCTGAGCCCTGGGGAATGCCTGTTGAGAACAAGACATGCTAGCTATTGTGAGGTGACCTGTCTGTTTAAAAACAAAGTAGTGCAAGATGATTGATGAAAATTTAGGATGTGAGAAGAGTATAAACAAGGAAAAAATTTTCGTTAGGTATACCACCCACTATTAACATTTTGAATGATTTCCTGTCTTTTTTCCCTTGTCATTTGCATGTTTACATTTATTTACATATGTAAATGGGGATAGTATATATAGTTTTATGTCCCCCATCACATTTTTATTGTAAGGTATCCTGCATCCAAGAAGGGCATAAATATGCATGTGCACAGCTTAAAGAATAAAAAAAAAAATATATGCACTCGATCAATCACCAGCTGGGTGAAGAAGAAATTGCATTATCTCCCCTTTGCATTCCCCTCTCTTTATCCCTTAAAGTAGCCAAATGCAGAAAGAATCAGTGTTCTTCACCTTGTTCATCTATTTTATCATTCAAATTGCAGCAGGAGGGAGATATGCCTACTTTATCCAATCTGACACAGATGCTGGAAGATGTCTTCAAAAAGATTTTTATTACTTATATGGACAATTGGCGCAGGAACACAACAGCTGAGCAAGAGGCCCTACAAGCCAAATTGGATGCTGAGAACTTCTACTATGTCATCTTGTACCTCATGGTGATGATCGGAATGTTCTCTTTCATCATTGTAGCTATCCTGGTGAGTACAGTGAAATCCAAGAGGCAAGAGCACTCCAACGATCCCTACCACCAGTACATCGTGGAAGATTGGCAAGAGAAGTACAAGAGTCAAATCTTCAATCTAGAAGAATCAAAGACCACCATCCATGAGAACATGGGTGCAGCAGGGATCAAAATGGGTCCTTGAGAAACAGAAGAAGCATAAAGCCAACATCTGATATCCAGATCCAAAGAGATGCCCGTGCCATGGAGCAAATCCAAGTTGTAATTGCTTAGAAGATACTCAGTTCCTTGCTTGCTGTTGAGAATTTTCACGGAGATCATGTGGCCACTCAACCAAGATAGATGACATTTTTTTTTTACGATGATCTCTTATCTTTACTTTTTTTAATTTTATTTTGTTAGTCACTATACGTTACATCATTAGTTTTTGATCTAGTGTTCCATGATTCATTGTTCGCATATAACACACAGTGCTCCATGCAAAACATGCCCTCCTTAATACCCATCACCCGGCTAACCCATCCCTCCACTGCCCTCTCCTCTAAAACCCTCAGTTTGTTTCTCAGAGTCCATAGTCTCTCATGGTTCATCTCCCCCTCCGATTTCCGCCCCCCTTCATTTTTTCCCTTCCTACTATCTTTTTTTTTTTAACATATACTGTATTATTTTTTCAGAGGTACAGGTCTGTGATTCATCAGTCTTACACAACTCACAGCGCTCACCATAGCACATGCCCTCCCCAATGTCTATCACCCAGCCACCCCATCCCTCCCACCCCCCACCACTCCAGCAACCCTTAGTTTGTTTCCTGAGATTAAGAATTCCTCGTATCAGTGAGATCATATGATGCATGTCTTTCTCTGATTGACTTATTTCGATCAGCATAATATCCTCCAGTTCCATCCACGTCATTGCAAATGGCAAGATTTCATTTTTTGATGGCTGCATAATATTCCGTTGTATATACCACATCTTCTTTAGACAGCTGACATTTTAATTTCAGTGATTTATACTTGCTCATCGGAGCAATATTTCATGCGGAACACCTCTTTTACTTTCTGGGCAATATAAATGGAATCTTAATCAATGTCCACTTTGACAAATTTTGTCACGTTAGTGAAAATAAAGTCAAATTTGAAGTGAAGTGCCTGTGTGCTGACAGTGGGGTTAGAGGGGGGACTAATAAATCACAGAACCTTTTTTCTTATGAAACACTGGTTTGTATGTGATGAATTCACTTTATAAATAACCCAGCTGTGTTACCCAGAAGCTGTGGTTCAAAAACGTATCACTTGCTCCACCAGCTTGACATCCGAGCATTTATTTATTAATTCAGGAATGCAGAGTCCGAAGTGATGGATGAACAGAATCACCAGGTTACTTTATGGGTATTGTTTTCCCGACATTTTGCTTATTTGGAAGTCTGAAGACAGAACAAACATTCCACAAGGGCAAATAGTCCCCAACGGAGACGTTGCATTATCCAGTACAACAGAAACATGTTTTAAAATTAACATCTGAAGCTTTCCAGAAAACTAACTCTTCAAAGCTCTTGCTATTATAGGAAAAAATAAGGAAAAGTTGTAACATCGCCTTATAAATAACAAATTTTTTCAACTCAGTTTATCTTCTTCCATTTATATTCATTTATTTTCACTTATGTTTCAAGAGACTGATGGTACAGAAAGTGATTGCTGGTGTCTGTTGAAAAGCTAGACAGTTCATTATATCTAGATTTTGCATTATGGATGCACTCCACAGATTAGGTGATTTCACCTGCTAATTAAATCAAACAGTATTTAACACCTGTCTACTTGGGCCACTAGCATAGACCCCAGGAGTGCGGAGATGAATGTGACTCTCTGAGCTGGAGCCACCTACTCATGAGAGAGAATGAGGTACATACAGAAACATCACGATGATAGAACATGACAGGTTATAAAGGAGATCAACACAGAGTGGGCAGAGCAGGGACGGGAGGGCAGGCCTAACTTGGTTTAAAGTCTACTCTCTCTGAGTCGCTGAGAGCAGGAAGTCAGAGCGAAGACAGATGTATGGGGTTGTGGCTTTGTGCCTCCCAGCTTACCTTTCTCCTCCCTCATCTACTCAGGCAAAGCACAGCAATTGTGAGTAGGACCTCAAGTCTCAGAGTACTAAGACAAAATTCAAAAAAGAAGCCCTTCTTCAAGGCATGCTTGTAGGATGTCTTCCATTGACTACAAGGATTCTATCGCCAGAGTGAGATATCTACAAGGTATCTGTTTCTTGGCAATAAATGTGCAATCATGCTAACATAAGCCTTACATACAGTGTTATGGAAAGCCATTTATATTCCCAGAGCAGATGTGGCAAGAGTGGCCTCCTTCCTCAGATCAGAAACCCAGAAATGCTATTGCACACAGAACATTTATCCCAGTGTGCCCAGAGCGGCCACCCGGACTACAAAATCCTGGCTTTGGGTCTGGATCCAGACCGAAATCCAAGGTTTCAATCGGGTGACCAACACTATCTTCTTCACTAACCTCTGGTCAGGCTCTTCTGGGCCTTCAAGGAGGCCTCAACCTTGGCTTATGAACACCGCAGACACTTGGTATAAATGATTTTGTCCCCTTCCCCATGCTACGAGACTTGAACAAACACTAGCATAGCTTCTAACAGCTCAAGGCTTCATCCCTAAGAGGACACCAGGCCCATTTGGAGTGCCTGCCTGAGAAAGTTCAACAAGCTGCCAGGAAAATTTACTGTTGGTTCCAGCCAAAACCTGGAGATAAGCAGATCAGCTCCCTGAATTCCCTCTAAGAGCAGTTACTTTAGAAAACTTGTAATTATAAATCTTCTCTCTCCCCCTTTGGGATATAAACCTTTTACTACCCAGAACTGTCTTGTCTCTGGAATGCCAGCATTCACGGAGATAACCCTCCTGACCGAGCGGGGGAACCTTGCTCTAACCTGCACCATTGCCTCTGGTCATAAAGACAGAAATTTGTTTCTCTTTCAGATAAGTGCCTATTAACAGAACCAGATCAGACTGACTAATCCTCTGGTTTTTATAAATATCCACTTGCCTGATTCTGCCCCACTGACCCCACTCCCTCATTCTCCCTTTAAAATGCCCAGTTACCACTGCATAAATCAAAGTGGACTTTGGTTTACACTGGACCCTCTTCTCTACTGCAATCGTTACTGAATAAAGTCTATCCCTAAGGCTTTCACTGGTGCCCGGTTTGATCTTTGACACAGAAAACCAAATGGAAGGAAAGAAATTTAGATTTTTCTAAGAAAGTACATTTTATTATCATCACTGAAAGTATAGTGGCAAGGTAGATGATTATCAGCCAACTTTGCTTTTGTGGGATGGGAGAAAAGGCCTATCTTTAGAAGCTTGCTGGGTATACAGTTGAAACCACTCACCCCAGTCTGCCACTTTAGCATGGATTCCCAAAATTCCAGGCTGGCCACTTTCCACTAGGTAACTAAGATGCTAATTCAAACAACTTGCTGGGTACACCGCACCCCCCCCCCACCGCCCCGTTTTGCTTTTAGAGCTCCCTCTGCTTGGATGACTGGCTCTGTATGACCTGAATCCCACTTCCTTCTTACAAGCAGAGTTCACAAATGGTTGCAAAAGGAGCCCATGTTAGTTGCTGCCCTGATGGGAATCTACATCCACTACTGAGAGTCAGGTCCCAGCTGTGGCACTTGCTGTCTTCCAAACCCTGGGCAAATTACTTTAATGTCTTAGCGTCTCCACTTCTTCATCTGTGAATTGGTTATTTTATGTCCTTCTACAGGCTGGTGGCGAGACTTCAGAGAGATCAGAGCTTCACAGTGCTCAGGACACAGCTAGTTTTGTTACTTTCTATAGGAAAACTTCGCTTGTCGACACAACTAAACCCTCCACCCTGTTTGTCCCTTCCTCTGCGCCCCTAACATCTGTACTTCATCACCACAAAATGTCACAGTGGGATTTGCAGTCAGTCCGCCTGTGACTGCCAAGTCGCGCGTTTTCTCGCGCCAGCCACTTATTCTCCCCTCGCTGGTTTCCTCAATCTACAGAAAGAACTCCGTGAACATTGGTCTTTATTCGGGGTCCGGCTTGCGCCCTCCCGTGGGGCAGGGACTGCGCGTCCCCAAACTGCACGCGCGTCCTGCGCGTTTGTTGGGAGTCTGGGAACCCAGAATGGGGGCTAGCGCTTTCCCAAAGGAAAATGCAAGCATTTTGTCAGAGGAGATGAACGCTAAATTTGGAAACTTCTGGGGAGCCAAGGATCCTCAGTCGCAGACAGCAGTGGACGCGAGAGGCCCAGCACCACGGCCGCCCTCCTCCCCCAGCTGCGGTAAATTCATAACGGTGGCCTGGACAGCAGTGCCCGCCCCGGCCAACCGTGACCCGTGACCCCCGCTCAGTCTCCCAACGCCCGGCCCACAGCGGCTCACTGCGCCGGCGCGCCGAGGGCAGCGCCGTCGAAAACAGCCCGGGCCCACTGCGCCGGCGCGCGGTGTGGTGCATTTCGGGACCTGTAGTTTCCCTGCCGCATTGTGGGATTTGCGGTTCGTGTGCTGTCCCGGCGCTGGAGCCTCCGCGGCCTGGAGCTGTAAGTGGGTGACGTCCGCGTCCGGTCAGCGGGACCCTGACCCGAAGCCCGGCAGCTCGTTGGGGCCCTGGGCAGTCGGGTGGACGGCCCCGCCTTTGCGCGTTCTGTCCAGGATGCCCGCCAGCCGGCCCCCTGCCGCGCGGCGCCAGCTCCCCGAGTGGGGACCGGGAGGGGGCTGGCCGCCGCGGCTCCCACGCGCGGAGCGCCCCTGCCTGGCTCGGGGCGTCCAGACGCCGCGAAATCCGTGGACCCGGCGCCCGGGGCGCAGTGTATAGGCTGGCACGAGTTCCGGGCGGGGCCCAGAGTTGTTCTGGCCACAGGGTTTGGGCGGATGAGCGAATGTTGTGGACACCCTGTTCTGTGGATGGGTGGGGGAAGCAACGGCCGCCCGTGGCCCTGATCTCCGGGTCTGAGCGGGCCAGGTGGTGGTGTTCCTCAGGTGTCGGGGCGGAGAGGACCCTGGCCTGGTCCCCCGGTTACGGAGGAGCCGAGATTCAGTGTCTCTGGCCCTGGGAATCCGAGGTGACCGGGGAGTGGGGCTCAGCGGTCCACGGAGTGATGTCCAAGGTTCACCTGCAACTAACTCCCTCCTCCCCGCACCTTCCAACTTCCAAAGATGGGGTGAAGAGTTGGGGTGACAAGAGCAGAGACTGGGAACGCAGACAGGTTCGGAGCATTCAGACTGACATATCCTACTTAGCGGCTCTAAGAGCGTGGACACCAAGAGACAGATGATCCTGGAGTTTGTTAGGTGTGCTAAGAAGAAAACGTAGATTGTGGACAATATGTTGTCCAGATTGCTTTCACTGGCCTAACCCAAATAAGCGGATAGCTTTTCTGGTTTCTAGGAGAAAACTGGCAAAGGAAAAATGAGGCTATTTTTACAGGAAAGGGGACAGAATCATTTCTATCTAAGCCATTGTTATTTTTCAGATTTAAGCTAGGATTGTGGATAGTTCTAGGGAAAGTCTAAAACCTTCCTGCACTTCACAGATTTTATACCTCAAAAGTGTTCCCATCTTGTTGGCTTTTGCGGTTCGGCCCTCAGATACCAGCTGTCTCCTGTGTCTGATGCTGCAGCAGGTGTGTGTGCCTATGGCGTGGAGCTAATAGCCTGCTGATATTTTTAGCTTTCTCAGTTGTTCTCATTTGCCAAAGTCCTGCTGGGGTGCTACAGAAATGGCTGAGTTGGAGCATGTAATTGCAGGGGGATGGGGAAAGTTAGCATTTGGAGGCAGCAGGTGGGAATGAGCTGGATTGATCAGCCTTCTAGTCTCCCACTCTCACTGCATCCTTTCCGCTACTTTGTTTGCAGGTTGACTTTAAATATGTTTCTTTCTAAAGAGCTTGAATGCCCTCACTCTCTGTATGGAGTCGAGGCAACTGCCGGTAAATTTTCATAGTCCCATAGTCCCACCAAAGAATGGTGACTTACGAATGCCAGAGTTGCAGAGTTGTTCTTTGGATTCTGGTTTTTAAAGTGAGAACATTTTGGTTCAGAGAGGTGAATGAATGGCTTACCCTAGGTCACCTGCCTGCCAGGGGTGCCACCAAGAATAGAGTCCAGCTCTCTTGGTCCCTGCTGTCTTGCACTGACTGCATTTTGCCTTGCTTGCCTCTTGTTTATGGTTCTTAAGCTTGGCATGTCCGTTAGCAGAGAGAGAGAGATACTTAGGGTGACAATAATGGTTGATATTTATTTAATGTTTTCCGTATGCTGAGTATGGTGCTTTGTGTTTACAATCCAGCCTCTGAAGAACCTTAAAAATGAGGGACCTGAGGCGCAAAGAGGCCAAACGGCTTGTCCAAGGTCACACTAGTCTTAATCTTAGTCCTGGCTTGCTAGAGGGCCAGACCATTGGGTGGTGGTGGTGGTGTTAATTAAGTCAACACTATTTTTTTTTAATTTCCTTAAATAATCTCCACACCCAATGTGGGGCTCGAACACACCACCCCAGGATCAAGAATTGCATGCTCTACCGACTGAGCTGACCAGGAGCCCCACTGGGTGTTCTTTTTCATTTATTTCCTCCTGTGAGCTTTTTGGACCTATTTGTCGTCCTTGACCTTGGGAATCAATATCTTACATTAATCCATTAATGTATAGGACATTAATCCATTAATTCTTATGTTAATTTATGTAATTAATATGTTAATTACGTTAATAGGACCTCAGAAAATTAGGAACAGCCAAACTCACCTACTATATTTGTGCACAACTCGATTAGAGTAAAAATAAAATTTACATGACCTTAAACATTGCAGATTACAATATGGCTAATCCCTGAGGTTATCTGAGATTCCTGAAAGTGAAAATTCTAGCAATAGATTGTAATCCGTTAGGAACATACCTCTCCAGTGCAAGTCAGAATCTGCTGCTACTTAAAGACAACCTGGCCATTTATCTGTAAAGAAAACGAGCACCTTCAGTCACCGTCATCACATTTAAACAGATTTATGGTGTACGTTCCTATCATGAACTTATCTGGCTTTGAAAGAAGTCATGGGGAAAACTTGGTTATCTTGTGCCAACCACCAGCCTGTTTTCTAGATACTATGACCTTGAATAGATGAGGCATGAATTTTCTATATTTAGATGTTTTTGTAAGTAAAAGTTTTAGTGAAACATTTTTCCCCGAAGTTTATTTTATTATCCCCATTCTAAAGGCCTGTGACATTTTCTTGTGCTTTTCTTAATTCTAAGTACATGTGAAGACAAGCATCTGCATGATTTTTGAATGCACATCTTTCCGCCTACATCAGGATAAGACTCTGGAGCCACACTGGGTGGGTTCAAATCCCAGTCCCTGTGTGACCCTGGACACGTTACATAAACTTTGTCTCCTTGTCTCTGAAATGGAACAGTAACCTCTACCTCCTAGGGCTGCGTGAGTTTATGCAGCTGATGCGCCCTCGTGCAGCCCAGCACAGTGAAGTGAAGCTATGATTATGCTCTAAGTTGCCAAATTTCATAAAAAACCGGGGCCCTAGAGCCCATTTAGTTGACACCCCCTTTCTTCATTTACAGATGGGACCAAGGCCCCAAGAGGGAAGTCACTTACCAGAGTGTGTAGGTTCTTTATCCAGAGCTCAAGTCTTCTGACTCTTGGGGTATGTACCATATTCTAAAAAATAGCGACATAGAAGGTCTTGGAGCAAATGCTTTGCTCCAGCTGCGTCCCTGACCTCCACTCCCTGCTTTACCTTCCCCTAGGTCTCCCTCACAGTTGAGATGAAATTCTAGATAGGAATTGCTTTCAGAGGACAATTTTTTCCCCTATCATTTACTCCCCTCCAGATATTTTTTAAGAACCAATTTTTGCTTCATTAATACTCAGAGGGGGCGCCTGGGTGGCTCAGTCATTGGGTGTCTGCATTCACTCAGGTCATGATCCCAGGGTCCTGGGATCGAGCCCCGCGTTGGGCTCCCTGCTTTGCGGGAAGTCTGCTTCTCCCTCTCCCACTCCCCCTGCCTGTGTTCCCTCTTGCTATAGCTCTCTCTGTCAAATAAATAAACAAAATCTTTAAAAACAAAACAAAAACAAAAAACAGAGGACCTGAAAAACAGAAAGACACTCATCCACAAATCAGCTCTTGCCCAGGGCAGGAGGTGGGTGGAGAAGTAGGTTTTGGACTTGGTTTTTCTGTCCACAGATGAAAGGCATGGGCGCACGTGTCCCCTTAGGAGCAGCACTGTTACCTCTGCTCTGGGCTGTGCTCCCACTCCCAGCAAAGAGCAGCTGGGGAGACGTTTCTGCTCACCAAGACCCAAGCCTGTGTCAGCCCTAAGCCAGGCCATCTGCTTCCCTCTGGGTCACCTTGTTGGGGACACTGGCTCCTCCTGTCTGCAGCCCTCGTTCTCGGCTCATGCGCCCTTTCTCTCCATCAAAGAGGTCTTCCTATGGTGATCTGCTCCAGAAAACCCTGAGTGACCTGTTTCTTCTCTTCTCTACCAGAACAGCAAGACCTGCCCTTCTAGCTCCTCTCCTCATGTGCTTGTCTGAGTGGGCCTGCAGTGACCCAGAGTGAATTTGCCATTGGCCCAACATGAACTGGAAGGTGAGAATAATTTTCAACATTATGGCTTGGTTTTTTTCCTTTGTCCTCATTGTAAAAATTCAGAATAACAGTTCTGTAGTTGTAGGTTGATTAAAAAGAAAAAAGTGGATTAAGGCAGGAATCCTAATAATACTTTAAAAATAATATTTTCAGTTAAGGCAGATAAAAGTACATTTATTCCCCAGACTTTTGGAGGAAGGCGAGGCCCTTTCTTTGACTGGGTGTACAGACTTCGGATCTGCCTCACTCTTCTTGCAAAAATCATGCCTTTAATGTTTTACCTACAGTTTCACATTTTGGTTTCTTTAAAGTGGGTTAATATTTTAGGAAACAATCTACATACAAGATATTTCCAGATTTTTATATTTTTCTTCCCTAATCTTTTACATTTGTGTTGCCAACAGCACTTTTTTTTTTCCAACCTAAATTTGAAAATGCATTGAAAGCATTCAATTTAGTTTTCATGGAAACAATTTTTTCCTCATATAACATAGCCATATTTTGTAAGTATTGTGTTTAGATAAATTATCCATTATAACATCAAGTACAGCTTCAGCTGGTTGGGGAATAAACATAGCGGTCCTCTGTAGCACAGACTCAGCCTCCGGGAGCGCAGGTCCAAGGGCAATCAAACGGAAGCCTGCAGACTGTGGGCATTCGTGGGCAGGTCTCACAGAGGGAAAGGAGAGTCATCACGTTAAATCCCTGAAGTACATGGGGATGTGGTAAAGGTCGGTTAAGAGAGCAGCCACTGAGATATGTTTTATCATAGATTCTTTGGAAGTATAAAATTCGGTAAAAATCGTGTTGTCTCACCCTCCAGAGATGGCTACTATTAACAATTTTGGTGTGTTTTCTTCCAGTCCTTTTTACATATATGTAAGTGTAGTGTATGTATTTTCAAACTTACGATCCCACTGGGTATATTTTTTTTTCAATTATGAACCTTTCCTTGTTCAAAACATCCACCAGTTTTCTATTGCAAGGCTTACTGGAAAGATCTGGAAGCAGGACCAGGGAGCTGGGAGAGAGAGAACCCCTTTCCTTCCCTAGCTCCTTTGGGTAGGGGTTTGGGGGCCACCCAGGAGGACCACGGGGGACTCTTCTCCAGGACAAGCCTGGTTGAAGGTAAGAGGCCGAGTGAAGGTTTCTTGAAGGAGCTGAAAATGTAGGAGTGTCTGTTTAGCCTATGTTGGGGTTCCAGAGCTTAGAGCAGAAAGGCTGAGAAGGAAGGAGGAGGCAGTGAGGGGTTATAAGAGGAAGAAGCAGAAAGCAGCGTGGGGTGGGATTTAGGGAAGGGCTTGTCCTCTCTGCGGTGGCCACAGTCAGTGGGGTTGAAAGTGTTCATTTGAGCACCCAGGCCAGTCTTGCTTGTGACAAAAAGAGTTCATTCTGATGTCAGGGACAGAATCTGCCCACACCTTTCCAACTTCGAGCAGATACACAGCTCTGTGACTGCCAGGGAGCATCCTCATGCTTAAAAGGGGGCCTTTCCTTGTAATGTCAGAAGGAAGCGGCCTCTCCTTGCACCCTGACCTCATAGAGCTCGGGAAGGCGGGAGGATCAGGTAGCGAGCGCACAGTACATCCTGTGGGCTTCCCTTTCTGGCTCAGGGGGCCTGTGGCCGTCAGTAACAGTTAACATCGTGCATTAGCAACCGAGTGTGCCCTCATTGTTGAAAAAATTAGCCATCCTTATTACACAAGTATTGGGGATTTATTTTAAAAATTGGTATAGATCTCATCCACCCCCACAGTATTTTATTCATTTACCCTCTTGAAGGTTGGTTTGTTTTGAGAGTTAAAATGAGGGGCTCGTTAGAAATCAAAGGAGGATCTTGCACAACGGAAGCTTGGTACCCTAGCGGGGCAGGAATGGATCCCTGAAACCCTTTGCTTTAAGCCCATGTAGTGTCCTTGACCTCTGCTGCCACCGCCCGGCCCTCTCCCAGTCCTGAAACGTCTGCGTCTTGCTGCCTCCTGTGTCCACTACCTTTAAGAAGAAAATAAGCCTTGAAACCACTTACCTCTGTCCATGTATTGATGTATTACCAGTTTGGTGCATTTTCTAACTTCCGGTTGAGATCTCCATTCCTGTACCTGCTAAAGCTGTCCCCTGTTCACATCACAGGGACCCGTGGGCTGTGATGTGGGCTCCATCCTAATAGGACCCACAGGCCCAGCTGTAGAGATGGAGACAACTGGAAGAGTAACTTTTCCCATGTGGATTAGTGCTTCAGTTGGCCTAGATCAACCTAGTGAACATAAAATGGGGTTTCTACCTCTAAAACTGTTGATTTTTGCCTCCAAGGAAATAAAGTAGAAGCACATTTGACATTTTTTTTCTTTAAAAGCTGGTTTGTAAACATGGAATCAAGCCTCATTGTGACTGAGAACCTTCAAGAAAATAGATGAGTTAGGGGGTTGTCTGGGGGAGGTAGTGGAGGTTAGCTGTGAGGAAGACCTGTGTTCTGAGCTGCTTATATTTGTCAGGAGAAAAAAGTTCACTCCTGCAATTTTTGTTAGCCTTTTATGCTCCTGCTGGAGTGATCTTTCTGAAGCGTGTATGTTGTATTTATTCTTTCCTGTTAAAATGACTTTGTGGTTGAAAACTATTATCTGGTTACTTAGTGTTCTTGTGTTCTTAACCGTTTTAGTTAAATTCAAACGATTTAAATATTTGGGTTCCTCCTTTTGTGATCTGGTATATTCCTTCTGCATCACATGGCAACCTTCCTCAAATATCCATAAGTAACCAGCTAAATAATTTCAGAGGTAGTGAGTCCAGTTGCCTTAGGGAGACTTAGTAGCCAAGGCATCATTTATTTGCATAATTTAGCTGTAAAACCGGCGAGGGTTGGGGAGAACATGGTAGATATTACAGCATCGTGTAATGATGAAGAGAGTTCAGGCTTTGGAACAGTCCAAGGATTTGGTCAGACCTAACCTTTCCAGACTTTACGCTTTCTCAGCCACAAAATTAGGACAGTCTGCCTGCCTCCTGGGGATCTGATGAGGGCCCTAGGGGAAAATGTAGGGGAGTCACTGAGTGCACGGTAAGCTTCCGGTAGGCCTAACCGATGCTCCGTCTTCTGCGTGTGAAATCTATGTCTAGGTCTGTGTCATCAAGAATTTTAATAAAATTGCACGAACACCTGTGCACGTAATTTATGACTTCGTTAATTCCATTTCCTTAGAAATCCGGACGCAGTGGAAAGAAGACCGGCGTAGGGGTTAGAACGGTTCATTCTGAGTCTGCCCTCCTTGTGAATTCGCTGTGTGACGTGGGTTGGCCTCTCCCCCGCCCCCCACCGGGAGCTTCCCTCTCCTTGTTTGTGAAACAAGGTGGTGGACTAAGTCATCTGTGAAATCTCCCCCAGGCCTCCAGCTCTGTGAGCATGTTGTTCCCAACTGAAGTTTTCTCTGACCGGTTGAGTTAAACTGTTACAAGGAGAGCAAATGTTCTTTCCATAGTAGAAGCTCATTATGTAGGAATTGCATATAATAAGTGATGTTTGGCAATTGAATGATTTCACTGGAATAAATCCTACCTAGTCCTCTAGAATGGTGATCGCTCAAAAAAATCATACCTTTATTTGGGAAGGAATTTTTAATCACACAAAAAGCTCCTAATTATTATTCAGGTCATATTAATCATGTTTCTGAAACAAGTATAGTATTTGCCTTGAGATGCTATTGTGCTACAGAGACTATCATAATAGTTAGTGTACCTACTAGTACAGAGAGTAATTCAAATCCATAGCTATTCCCCAGGTATCATTTTAGCCCATGGGTTTTTTTTTTTTTTTTAAGATTTTATTTATTTATTTGAGAGAGAGCAAGAATGAGAGACAGAGCATGAGAGGCGGGAGGGTCAGAGGGAGAAGCAGACTCCCCCCTGAGCAGGGAGCCCAGTGCGGGACTCGATCCCAGGACTCCAGGATCATGACCTGAGCCGAAGGCAGACACTTAACCATCTGAGCCACCCAGGCGCCCCTCATGTTTTGAATTTTTTTGTCTTTTTATATTTATTTTACCTTCCAAGGGCCAGTGCTAGTGAGTAGCCACAACCAAGAAGAAAGGGTAGCATGCTAAAGTTGGAGAATCCAGAAGGAAGGTCTGGTCCCGCCTCCCTCAAAGGGGCAGAAGCTCAGAAAGTCCCGTGACTGACCCTGGTCGCGTGGTCAGTTGGGCCCCCGGCTCCATCTCCTTTCCCTGGACCATGGGGCCGCCTCAGAAGCAGAGGGCCTGGGGGACTGGCAAAATGCGTGGTCCGGTTGTGAGAGACCAGAGTTACGTCAGCGGCCCACGGGTGGTTCTCTCGTGAAGCCAGCGGCGGGGGAGTGATGGAGGGCAGAGGTAAGCCTCGACTCATCGGTGTGGGCCAGGGGACCTTGTCTGTCCTGGTCAGCCATGTGGCCCCAGCACCTCGCCTCGTGCCTGTTACATAAGAGGTAGACAGTAAAGGTTTGTTAAATGAAGGAACATGAAAGAAACCTTTCTTATCAATCATGGAACATTTAGAACGCTTGCTTTCTTCTTTAAGGTCCTTGAACACGTGCCCCTGCTACTGTATATCTTGGCAGCCAAAACCTTAATTCTCTGCCTGGCATTTGCTGGAGTCAAAATATACCAAAGGAAAAGATTGGAAGCAAAACAGCAAAAACTGGAAGCTGAGAAAAAGCAGCAGTCCGAGAAGAAAGAGAACTAAAGGGAAATCAGAGGTACTGGGACTTTGCACGTGCGGAATGTCCGGTGGGCATTCTGCCAGGCCAAAGCAGTTCCTGTCAGGGACCCTTCCTTTTTTTGGAAAAGGTGTTTTTCTGACTGAAACTCTGGAGTTGGCACAAGGGTGAGCAAAGTTAAAACGGGCAAGGGAAGCCCGTTCGCTTTGAAATGTTGCGGGTTGAAGTTCTGCCCCAGGCAGAACTTTTGTCTGCGTCCTCCTTTTGTGTGTTAGACTGAGAAGAGGAAGGGAAAGATGGGGTGCGGGTCATAAATGCTGCTCCCCACCCACCGGCATCCGCGGAGGCCGCCGGGGAAGGGGGGCGTTGGTGGCAGCAGGACTGACCTTTCATTTTCCCTCCCGCCTCGAGCCTGGTCTTGACCAGGGGGGATGTTTTCAGCGGGGCAGAAAACCGTGAGGTTGGAAATACATTCTTTAATAGATAGACTTCAGTGGTTTCTGTTTGTTAAGTTGAAATGGCTGAGCATGAGGGGTAATGCCGAGCAAGTAAAACATTCAGACACTTCATACTTTTCCTTTTGGTCTTCCTTTCTAGAATTTGCAATTTAAATGTCAGCCTGAGTGGATTTCAGCTGAGAAGAAAGAAGAGACATTTACTGAATGGTGTGTCAAAGGATAAACCCCCAACCTGTAGGGTTAACTTAAAATTATCTGGACTTTTTCATGCTCCTAAAAGAACCCATATTTTGTTTACTAAAATAAAATACCTTTCTAAAAAAGGGGGTCTCTGTCTCTGGAATAAGCCAAAGTCTTTCAGTCTCACACAGACACACACCTGCCATGTTGTGAGGGGAGGGAGCTTTGCAAGCCCGCCCCCCTCCCAGCCCGTCTCAGCTCTGGGTGCCAGGTCACAGGTGCTCCTGACACAGGACTAGGCCGCAGGAGAAGTGGCTTCTGCCCTAGGGCTTGGCTGCCAGCCCTCCCTGACCCTCCGGCCCGCTCCTCGGCTGCCCTCCTGCACACTGCTCTTCTCTAGCCCGCCTTTCCGCCACGTTTTCACTGTTGGGGTGGAGGGAAGCTGCACGCTCGCTTGCCCGGGGAGCGTTGGCGCCTCTGCCGACCCAGCTGGGTCCCCGTGGGGCGGGCTACAGGGTGAGACCCACCGGCCACACTGGGTGGGAGACTCGGAAGAACTAACATCCCTGAGTCCTGTCATGAGAGAGTAAGAAGAGCGGGTGTACTGTCCTCTCCCCCAGTTTGCTTGTTGGGGTTTACTGGTAAGAGATGAAGGAGGGTGCTGAACCAAGGAGACTTCCAGATCTGAGAGGAATGATACTGAGAATTTTTTGACTCAGCACCTACCAGACTGAGATCTCTGTTAAAAGGTTCCCATCGTCTCACTGCTCTGCATACCAGCGTGGGTGGGGGAGGAGGAAGCAGGAACCAAAGCCATGCATACAGTGCAGTGTTTGGTTTGGTGCCTTTGCGGGTGGCCACGTGGAAAATTTGCATGAGTGTACGATTGACCCTTGAACCCCATGGCTTTGAACTGTGGGGCTCCACTTACAAGCAGGTTTTTTACAGTAAATACAGGACAGCACTGTAAATGTATTTTCCTTATGTTTTTCTTAACGTTTTTTCTCTCGCTTGAAGAATACATTGTATATATATATATATATATAACACATATACAGAATATGTGTTAATCAACATTATGTTAGTTGGTAAGACTTCTGGTCAACAGTAGGCTATTAAGTTTTGGGGAGTCAAAAGTTAAAACGTGGATTTTTGACTACACAGGGGTTTGGCACCCCTAACCTCTGCGTTGTTGAAGGATCAACTGTATATTAATAGATGTCCACCCCACTCTGGCCCAGGTTGGTGGAACTCTGAATTTTAAACAAGAGGTGTAAAAGGAGTTCTTTCTCAAATTTTACTGTGATGGCTCGGTGCTCTTAATCACAATTTAGAAAGCAGAGTTTACATTTGTAGCTTGAGCCAACAAGCTACAAACCCCCAAATAGTCAATGTGGCCTGGGTCTCATGGTGCACAAAGAGATGCCGGAACAGAGGTGTAATGCCCTAGGATTTCTGCCCTCCCACCCCAGCGCTTCCCTGACTTGCTCAGGTGGGGCCCAGAACTGACCCTGGGCCACAGCCAACCCTCCTGCCTTTGTCAGGGTGCCCTATGCAGCCTGGCTGGCCACCCACCCCTTCTGGTCTAGGAGCTCTGCCTCTGCTTCCTTCCCTCTCGGGGGATCTAAGGCATTCCTGGCTCCCACCCGGCATCACACCCAGTACCTCTGGGCATCTTTCCTCCACGTGCACTCCCTGCTGGACTCCTCAGAAATCCAAGGACAGGGGCTGTTGGCTTTCCTGGAGAATCTAAATATGCCTAAGCAGTGGATGGTCACATTTATTTTAAACACAGGTGCTTTCCTAGGGGGACTTAAAACTCGGCTCTGGAATTTGTGGAACCTGGGGTCATCTTAGAAAATTTGGTAGAGGGGGACCTAAGGATTGAGCTTAAACCATTGACCACACACCCATGGGTTTTTTGTACAGTGTTGTTTTTTGTCCCCCAGTCACCTTTCTTACACACTCCCTTCTACCACCAGGGGGAGATGAGTAACACCTCCTGGAGTTACGGATCACCATTCCACTCCATATGCCCGAAGTCAGTAGTTTTACAGTTTGAGTTTAAAGAATTGGTTGGTTGGATGCATGCACGCATGGGCGAATGTAGGCGGAGAGATTGGTAAAGCCCACAACCGGGACTCCATGTGGCCTGCAGCTAGCCAGCCCCTCTCTGGACCACAATCGTGAGCAAATCCATAAAGAGGAGACTGCCCCCTGGGTAGCTGAAAGATGTTTCAGAGAGCATAAGCTGAAATCTGTGTTCTCTTCCCACAGGGGAGCCCAGGATCCCCTCACACAGATCTTCTTTAATCTTATTAGACACACCCCAACACCTTTTTATTGGTTTCAAGCTGACAACATATTGAAATACCTTAGAGCAAGAGAGGTGGTCTTTACAGAGCCCACCGAGTCTCTGAGAACTCACTGTATGTTCGCCACAACCCCACACCGGGAACAGTGCACATTAGGACGTTATGTTCCCAATGATGACCTTAGTCTCTAAAGGAAGGTTCAGCTGTGTTCTCATACTCTGCTTCACGTGGCAGAGACACACAGAATGTATTTCAGGAACTGAATAGTTCAAACAAAAAGTCTCGCAGGCTTTAGAAAGGGTCACCTCTCCCCACCAGACAGTGTCCAAATGATCATCTCTAGGGAAACACAGCTGTCTAAATGACTCAGTTCAACGAGATGCCTGGGCCTTGACACCTGACCTGCTTACATGGATGCTCCTTGACATCAGCTGTCCTGTGCAGGTCACCAGTGTGCTGGAGCGAAGCCAGGGGCTGATGGAGAGATTCTGGCGGGAAAAGAGAACTGAGGCCGAGTCCTCCAACGTCAGCACACACGAGCGGCCGTTTAACATGCAGATTCCTGGGCTCGACTCCAGACCCACAGATTCACAGCCTCAGGGGATCCTTCTTTTGAGCTTTAAACAGACAGAAGGAGATGAGCCCCGGAAGCCGAGTCTGGGAAAGAGCATCCAGGGTAGGACGACGACGATCCGGAGACAGCGAGGTGGCGTGACCCCTCGTTCAGCCCTTATTCCCCCGCGTGCTCTACTTCTATTACCTCCACCAGCTGTCAGTATCCTCAGATAAGGAAACAGGCACAGAGCCGTTAATAGCCCCGTCTAAGGTCCCCAGTTGGCCAGAGGCAGAGACGGGGGCTAGGCGGGGGAGATCAGCACCCCCGGGGCCTGCCCCTTTCACTCCCGGGCCTGGGAAGGGGAGGCGGGCAGGACCTCTGGGTCTGTGTGTGGCCATGGGTAGGCCGGTGTGCAGGGCGACAGCATGAGTGGCATAACAGGGACAGAGGCCAGGCTGTAGTGAGCGGCGGAGCTGGGAGGGTACAAGGGAGTAGAAATGGGGCCGTTTGTGCACTATTTCAAGCGTGTGTGCGCGTGCGAAGCCAGGACAGAAACATTTCTGCTCAATGTGTTAGTTTCGAATAACGGCTTAGTTTTCAAATCATTGGCTCCGTATTTTCGTTGTGTTTCCAGATGTTTGGGACACTCTAATGTACTGATTGTCCTTTTTTCAGATTCACAGTTTGCCCCATCAGTTGAAATTTGGAGGTACTTCCCCTGAAAACATAGAGAGCTGATAACTTGAAAACTATGAAAGAAGTGTTCTGTGACTCCCAACTTGGCAGCAAGCTGCGTGCCTCCTGGGGGGCGGAGAGAGACCTCCGTAGCCCTAGGGGAAGGCAGGATTGAAGGAAAGGCTCTTCTGGAAGGAGGAAGCTGGAGCATGATCAAAGCTGAAGGAGACACAGAGGAAGGGGGACCAGCTGCAGGAGGAAGTGGGAGGGACGGGGGGGGCATCTGGGGACGAGGCCCTGAAGGCCTTGGAAGCCATGGGGGTGACTTCAGTTTCCCCTCTGGCTTGGCACAAGGCCTTCTGTTCCCAATGTGGGAGGGCTGCTGGGTTGCAGTGGGGAGAGCCATTATGGCTTGACCAGAGCCGCGAGGAGCCAGGCTCTGCCAACCCTCTCTCCTTCTGCCTTTCCCCTCAGACAGTGGTACCTTCCTCCCAGTTCCCCTGTACCCTCTGTGGTGTCTCCCCGCTTCTGGGTGCTTGTGGGTGGGAGAGAACTGAGCTGTCAGGTGTCAGAGTAGCTGATCCGGGTGACAAGCCCAAAATGGAAGAGTTAAGCCTTTAACCACTTCCTCCGAGGGTACGAGATGGCACCTGAGGAAGGACCAGCTGGCCCTGCTCCATTTCCCCCATGAGCACCTGACTGAGTCAGAGGGCAAAGTGTCCCCAAACCTTCCCCTTCCCCGTGAGGATGTCTCAGCCTCAGAGGAGCCTGAAGACCCGGGCCAAGGAGCCCAGGAATGAAGGTGCCAGGCTGGGGGTGCAGATGTGTGACCCGTCAGAGGTCGTGGGGCCCCGGTTGTCCCCACGCCCAGTGTGGGGAGGGCAGCTTCCCCCATGTGGCCCGCGGGGTAAAGCCTCGCAGTTGCCTGCGGTCAGGCCTGAAAAGTCACATGCCGGGTTTTGTCCCCTCGGTGGGCCAAGCGAGGCCTCTGCCCCCCAGTGCTTGTCCCTCCTCTGCATGAAGCCTGACGCCTTCTCACCCAGCCCTGCTGTCTTCCAGCCTGGCCCTTCTCCCGCCCATTCTTCCCGTCCTTCCGCGCCCGCCATCCAACTCACACCCCGTGTGCACACAGCCACGTCTCACGCACACGCTCACATCTCACACAGCCACACTCACACACAGCTCTCTCAGACACAATCTCACACACACACTCGCAACTCCCACCTGGTCACACTCACGGTCACACACTCATTTCTCGCCCAGACACTCATGCACGCACACTCACTCGCACACCCCCTGCCTGCCTGAGTGGGAGGTGGGTAGACTCCGCGCCCTTGTTCAAGCTCCTGCCTGGCTTGGCCGCTTCTGCCCGTGATGAGATCCCTGCGCTTCCTCTGGTCCCCACGCTATCTTCTGTAGCTCTGCCCAGGACTCCCAGCGCCAGACCCTGGACTCGGAGCCCCCACTCCCCAAACCTCTAACGTCTCACTGACTGAGAGCTACCCCCATCATCGGACTCTGACTGCCTCGAGGGCCAGAGCTTATTTTCTTTGGTGTCCTTCTTCCACCATACAGAAGGGGCTGGAATG